CCGGCGAACATGGGTAGCACGCAATTCGTCCTTGTTCCGGAGGTGTCTGAGATCGCGCGTTGCAGAGCATACAGGTGCCACGGGTGTCTCGGCTGGCAGATCGGACAGCCGTGCCACTGGTGTCGTTTTCGCCTGTTCAGCTGCCTCACAGATCCTCAGGAAACGATAGAGCATCTCAAGCAGACCTTTAGCTCCCTCGTCCAGCTCAGCAGATTCGTCTTCAGGGGCCTTGACGTGAAAACCGTGGCCGAGGGCGGGGATGACGCGCTTCGTCCACTCACCAGCCGGGTAGTCCCGGCTAGTCAGGGCGCATCGAGATATCTCTATCGTTCGATGCTGGCGCAGGAAGCGTAGTTGCATTATCGGATGGACAGGGCTCTTTGAATCATCCTGGGATGTTGCTGAAGACTTGTGCTGAGCTTCTGGACGAGGGATACTGATCTCAACGTCCCCAAACGGTTCATTGGCCATTAAGGTGCACTGTGCGTTGGGTTCGTACAAGACAAGCTAGAGAAGCGTCTAAGAATCAACCTGAGAACCCTGGTGTTACGTCAGACTGACCTTGGGGATTCGCTGCTTCAGCTTGCTAACGACCTTAGCGGCATCGGCATATTGTTTCCGATATGACCTCGGCAAGGACTGAAGCGTGTATTCGACGATCGGCTCTGCAAGACAGCAAGGTATACTGAGGTGTGGAGCAGCATATACCTTGATCTAGGAGGAGTTGTCACTGCCAGCCCATTCGAGCTCTGTGGCTGAAGGACAGAGCACTCACCGAGAGACCATTAGGGCTGATGACCAAGACTTCATTACCCTTCTGACCTTTCCTGCGCTCGCCTTCTCGAAAATCCACAAGAAGCGACTTGGACGGTAGGACAGTAGCGCTTCCGTTGGGCAGTTTGTGTGTCCGCGGCATCAGGTACGTGGTATTCAGCGATAAGAGCTGCTGAGCATCAGAGGTCGGTCCTTGCAATTTGGCGACGTCGGGTGCCTCATTCTTCATTTTTGCGCTAAGGATCGAGCCAGGCTGATCGAGAAGGGCGCCCTCTGCACATGCGGATGTCGGTGATGAGCAAATTCTAGAAGGCAGTATATGCATATCAGGGTGCAAAGACTCGGCCGGTTGGGTTTTATGCGTAACATGTTTCGGAGGCAGGAGCAGAGGGTGCGTCACCAGGTCCGTGCCGTAACGCTTCGGCATCGGTCGTCTCAAGCCGATCAGAGGGGCATGCTGGCCCGGGCAGTCAGTATCGTCGTCAGTAGCAGAGGGCCGCCCAGATTCAGATTCGCAGGTAGAGTCAGATAGCGCAGAGTCGTCCGTCAGAGCCGGCGTCGCAGACCCAGATACAGCACGAAGCATTTCAGAACCAGTCGCCAGTCGGTCAACAGAGTCCACTGGGTAAAGTTCGTCGGTCCTGAAACGTCTGTCCTCTTCGCGAAGAGTGGTATAGCTGGACACCGAACGCGCACGATCGGAGAAGAGGGTCCCTGGACGAGAACTGGACGTCGGGTCTGAAATGAAGCGGCGGGAAGGCCTTGGAATTGGGGTATTGATAGGTTCCCGAACCCGGAGGTTGAATAGGGTAGGTCGACCATATTCAACAGGGTCCATGAGAGGAGAAGTCTCGGATGAGACACGTAGAACCTTTATATTTAGTTCTGGCACAGGAGAGCTGAAGGTAGATTTTGCGCGACTGGATAGTGGTAGCACAGGTAAAGCGGGATTGAAGAAAGGATGGGATAAGATCCTATGCAGGGGGATACGGTGGGCGGGTTCTTGCTGCAGCAAGCCGGAAACAAGGTCCTTTGCTTCGTATGAAGCCGTGTCAGGCATTACGTATGCCCCTTGCATAATTTTAGCGAGCGTTCCCTCGATAGTGGGGGCCTAAAAGAGCGTCAGAACCAGCCAGGCCCAAGCTGATATAAACTCACCTCAAATGCTGGCTTGCCAGACAGACAGGTTACCATGAGTGCCCCCAGTGACCACAAGTCCGCCCCGAAGCCGTACGGGGAGTTATTGACAAGCTCCCTGGCGAAACAGGTAAGTGACTCGTTTCCAGAGGCAGCAGGTCACAATCACTCACGGCGATGCATAATTAGATGAATTGCCAAAATCTGTCGCGTTGGAGGCTGGTGATTCAACCTGAATAGCCAGATGAAAGTCGGCTAATTTCTAGTTGCGATACTCAAAAGCACTTCCCACACTATCAAGACACAACTCACGACACGAAAGTCTTCCCCAAGGAGGATATTACTCGGTTGTATATTCCTATGTATAACAAGAGATTTCTTGAGATAGACCAGGGCAGCGATGAGACTCTTGAGGATGCTCCGAAGCTCGGCTTCTGAGAGCACAGGTGGGCTTCGCGAGTGCAAGAAGTCGTATAGAGTGCCGTTAGGGCACAGTTCCAGCACCTGGTACTGAGCAGAGGCGGTTGTGAATGAGGAAAGCAGAGAGAGGATAGAAGGATGAAAGAGATTCCGATGCAACGAAGCAGAATCCTTAGAGCGTTCTCCTTCGGGTTGGGGGATCTGGCGTGCAGTTATCGGCTATATCAATCGTCCAGATGTATTCTATAGATGCTAACCTTCTTCAATGCTACCTGCCGGTTTCGCATCCGCCCTTTCCTGCAGGTCGCCAAGTACACGACAGAATGTATGCCGCGCCCGATTTCTCGGTCTATGACATAGTGCTAATGTTGACAGCTGTCTCAGTACGTATAGATATGCTAATATAATTAGGGACTTGCCTGAAGACTGCCCGTGTCGCCTGCGATATTAGCTGGGTCGCTACTCATTCTTAAGATTACAGACTGGTCACCGGTCGAGGCAAGAAACAAGAGGGAAGTTCGAATCTGCGTGGCATCCAATCGGAACGAGTGCGTGACTGTGGGAGAATCATGCCTTTCTCGGTAGGGCATAGCTGAGAGCTGAATAAACATACTAACCACGAGAGGGTGACCCGTGCTACGCACGGGCAGAGAAAATTGAAAAAAGAGATTGAGAGAAGAAGTCAGAAGAGAATTAAGAGAAATCGAATGAGAAATGAGAGGAACGCGCCGCCCGCCGCCAACCTTCGGTTGGCTGGGCGTGCAGCGCCCCTGTGAGAGGCGCCTCGTGAGAGGGATCACTGGCCAATGAGAGTGCCTCTTTGTCTCGGGGCTTTGACGCCCGAGGTGTTTTATTATATTAGATGCGTCCGCAACTGCACGTCCCTATCCCTTCATGAGAACCCAAGAATACAACAAGATGGACAAAGGCCGGGCTGGATTTTGTTTTTGTTTGGCTTCAAAGTACTGACGTTTGTGCCCTGGAACAGAGTGGCAGCGGTAGCGCGTGTGCGGGCTATCGTTGACCGACGGCGAATGTTTGGCCGCTGTCTTCACTAGACTACTTGAAGCAACTATTTTCTGTGTTGGCGTCGGTATCCCACGAATAGTCGCACTCATGCTGCATTGTGACCTACTTCGCACATCGGATGACCATACAGAGCTGTCAAAGGCTCTCTGGCAGCAGCGTCTTCAATATCCAGACATCACATGGTGCTCAGGCTTCCGCATGTACCTGTCCGCGTGCAGCATGTGGAGGACGTCCCTCGATTCTTCGAACGTTGCATCCTAGCGACACTATGGCTCGCACGTGGCATCAAAAAGCCGGCAAGAGACAGGCGTACTAGTTCGTGTCTTTGGCAGTCTACGCATGGTCATGGAGTGAAATGCACTTCCCCTCCGCCTGCACGCCTCAGCATGTACGTCTTCGAGGCGACTCTAGCCCGTGTGTCCATGTGTGCTACTCTGGAGATCCTGACATTATCGACATTTATCTCTGCAGAAGCTTGCGGGACTTTAATGCTTTAAAATTTTCCACATGGATTCACTTCACGCTCACATGGTCCCGTCGAGTGCGCTTGACACACACCACTCTTTATAGGTATCCTACAGACTATAAATTATGTGCTACATTCACAAGAAGCCTCTTCCTTCGTTGGGTCCATCTTTGAGTATATTAGTTTAGCTCCATGTCGCTCCTCAACTCTGGCTTGTTAATTGGCCTTCTTGCCCAGCAGGCCGCTGCTTGGGGCGACCTTGGCCACGAAACAATCGGCTACGTTGCCCAGCAGGTGCGTGAGCCCGTGTCTGGGTTGGTATATCAAGATGCTGAAGTTCTTTCACTAGTTCCTAGCGCCGAAGGCACTTGCCTTTGTGCAATCATCGCTCGGCTCGACTTACTCGGAATCTCTCGGCCCTGCCGCGCCTGTGAGTGCTTCAAATCGCTTGGATGCGATGTGAACTCATACATGTTTCAGTGGGCTGACAGCGTGAAATACGAGACGGCGTATGAGTGGTCCCAGCCGCTGCACTTTGTTGACGCGAATGGTAGTCATCCATATTGAAGACATTCTAGTAGCAATGCTAATCATACTCACGAAGACAATCCTCCAACTTCCTGCTCGGTTGAGCAAACTCGTGATTGCGGAGACGACGAGTGCATCCGTGAGTGACCTGTGTATAAGATGGTCATATTCCCCCTTACGCCTCTACGATAGTCACTGCGATCGCTAACTACACCACTCGTGTGGTTGACACGTCCCTCAGTGCCTCTCAGCGCCAAGAAGCACTTAAATTTATTGGTAAGGAAAGCTTCATCTAAAGCTCGGAACGATCTGACTTCGGCCTTGCAGATCACGTATGTCCATTAATTCGGCGGAAACACTCGTTCTCTCAGCATGAATTTATTTTATTTTAGTTCCTTGGTGATATCGGCCAACCCTTGCACGTCGAGGTTCGTTAATGACTCCCCTACCTTCCGTTCAGCCTAGTGGCTAAGATCGTACACAGAACTACGAGGTCGGTGGAAATGACATTGACGCCAAGTGCTCTGGCTCAAGCACCAATCTGCACGCTGCCTGGGGTGTGTACCGCTGTATTTTTGGCTTCTATGGTTGGAACTTAATGTATTACCTCACCAGACACTGGCATGCTGACCAAGAACGTCGATGCCAACCATGGCAGCAGCGCTACCACTTACGCCAGCTACCTAGTCGGCGAGATTCAGGTATGCAACACCTTTGAGACGACCTTGCTGCAGTTAACACTGTTGCGCAGTCCGGTTCATACCAGTCGCTGGCGTCCTCTTGGCTCTCGTGCACATCGATCACCGAGCCGGTCAACAACAAGCGCCATACTCCTTCTATTGAGTCTGACATCCGCAATTTGCTTACGGTTCGTGCTAAGGATACAACAATCACCCCTCTGGAGTGCCCGCTCGTCTGGGCCCGTGACGCGAATGCTTATGACTGCGTACGTGTGAACACACACTTCTCTAAAATAGTGCTCTTACCCTTCCGACCTTAGACCGTCGTGTTCCCCTTCTCGAAAGACGAGGACGCTTGCACTGGCACCTACTATACCAACGCCATCCCCGTTGTAAGTATCCATACTACGTCCTCGCCACCCGAAGATTAACCAAAGTGTGGCAGATCGACTTGCAGCTCGCCAAGCAGGGTTACCGCCTGGCAGCTTGGTTGAACGTCATCTTCGACGGTGCCACTAATCTTCCCTAAAGTGTATTTCTACTCTAGTATAGCGAGCTCTGGCCCGTTGTAAATAAATAGGATGAAGGATCTCTATCCCTGCAGCTGTTTCACGAGAAAGTCTTTCACTTCGTCAAACAACCCACCAGGACCTCCGAACGCCTCATCCGCACCCGGCGCCTTATCCAGCGAATGCTCCTGACCTTCGAGTACGCGCAGAGTCACAGGGACGTCCGCCTGTTCTAACAGCTGCTGCATATGCTGGGACTCTTGAACCGGCACCGCCGTGTCTGCCGAGCCATGCATGAGAAACGTCGGCGGCCAGCGCGCGTCGACGTGCAGCTGCGGCCAGAGCCTGACGTGTCTCTCGGGGATGCACGCTCTCGGGTCGCTCCCTCGCTCGACAGCTTCCCGTAGGGCCTCGCTTAGACTAGGCGCGTGCTCGCCTGTGTAATAGTCGAGCCAGATGCCCAGCTGGAGGTACAGCCGCGGGAGGAGCATGCGTGCGTTCGCGGGGAAGCCGGGGATGGGGTGCTCGGGCCCGTGATACGCCAGCGGGGAGCCCGAGACTTGTTCAAGCTTGACGCAGTGTGGGTACAGGAATTCGGAGAAATTTGCTGGTTCAAGGATTTCTCTTCCGCGGAAGAAGACGCCGGATTTCGGTGAGAAGTAATGCGGGATCTCAGTGCACAGGTCAGCGAAGAGGAGGTGCGTGCTATGATGACTCACGAGGAAGTTACCGCCCATAGCATACATAGTAAGCAAAGCTTTCGGCTTCGGTGAGGCGTACATGACAGCCAAGTACGCGCATAGTCCGCCTGCACTTACACCTGAAACTGCGAGCGTTGTGGTATCAACCTGGAAAGGGTGCATGCCGATAAGCTTCTCCTCCCTGATATTGGAGCGTAGCAATGCATTGAGATCCCTCTCCAGGAAACGAAATAAGTCCTCTATATCTTCGATAATGTCATGCCCGGTGGACGGAGGAAGTAGTCTGTGATCTGTAGAGATAAACGTCATCCCAGAAGCTGTGATACGCTCTACCAATGTTTCAGCGTGGTGCTCAAGTGCATCATCAGACGATCCCTTTTACCTTTCAGCCAGTTTGGGAACCAGCTCCGCCGCTCTCCGACTGTCAAGCCTCCGCCGTGGAAGAAAACTACAGCTGGGACGCTCGGAGGAGTGATACCTCGAGTGGGGCTTTCCAGTGAGGGCGGGTAGACGTCTAGGTAGATAAGACCGCAATCTGCCTCCTTGTAGGCGAACGTAAGGCATTCTTTTGCCGAACTTGCGCCTGCCCGAGACATCATTGCAAGAAACAGTTGCGCATCCGCAGTATTTCAGTCGCTTGGAGACCCAGGAGCCTCTGAACGCCTTGCGATAAACGCCGAAGAAGGCCTATGAAACGACACCGGCATCGCACAGCATCGTAACATTTCCAGCGAATTTGATAGCATGTAAAAAGACTAAGTATACAACAGATTGCATGTCTGTTTGAAATGATATACACAAGCGGGTAGGAGACAGAAGATGGCAGAGACACTAACTCCTCCGCTCGACGATCACAGGCAACCGCCCGACAGCGACAATGAACCTATCTTCAATGTCGCGCTCAAACTGCGCAGGATCGTATCCATCCGCGAAGCGGAAGTTGAACTGCTGCATGAGATGGCAGATAAGGGCGCGCATCTCCTGCATCGCGAGATTCTTGCCGACGCAGTTAAAAGGACCAAACGAGAAAGGTACCCACGCGTTCGGGTCGTGCACGATCTTCTCTGTGTGCGTCTGCAGACCCTCGGCAATTAGCCAGCGGTCAGGCCAGTACTTCTCCGGATACGAGAAGTTGCGCGGGTCGCGGTGGACGCACAACCAACTCACTCGCGCCTGTGTCCCTTCGGGGATGTAGCTGCGGGTCACCATGTCAACAAGGATTCTGACGAGAAGGCTGGGGACGTACTATGGACCGATGGCCTTCCCACCTGTGCCAGGCTCAGGTGCACGTTGGCTGCCGCTTGGTGCTGGAGGGAAGAGCCGCAGACCCTCCATGCTAATCTCGCGATCAGCGTAATCAGACAGGTGGCAGAGCGGTACTTACATGACGGCGTCCAGGTACTGCATCTCATGCAAGTGCTTGAGGTCAAGTGAATCTTCTCCCGGTGGATAAAATTTATCGACCTCAGCTTGCAGACGTTTGTACGCCTCTGGGTGGAGCAAGATACAGTAGAATATACTGGCAAGGACAGTGCTTGTGGTATCTGCGCCGGCAAGCATGGCAAGAAGACCGTCTGAAATGACCAAGGGCTTAGGGGGGTTGACCTTCTCTGCACCGTCTTCATTGCCCTGTGATTGCGATATCAGCATTGTCCCGATAAAGCGCAGGAAATTGATTCATACCAAGTAATAGAACAAGTCCCTTGACGTAGAGCCTGAGTTGTACCGTTTCTCTGCCTGACTAAATGCCAATGCACGCATCTTCTTGATAGCTTCAACGCCTCTTGGAAGCTTCTTCACATAATAAGACAGCCACGGGACATGCTCGTAAACGAAGCAGACTCTGAAGAGAAGCAGACAGCTTGTCAGTCAATTTCAAGATATGAACTTCTGGGAGGACGTACTTTGTGCCTGCGTTGAGGACCTTCCACAGGCCATCACGGTCTCCACCCTCGCGCATCATTTCGGTCCATCCACCGTATCTAGCAGACAGTGTCAGCCGATGAATCTTCTACGATGCACGACCGCACATACACCAAGTCTCCCATAAAGTCGTATCTGCGAGTAGATGTCAGCGTATGCGAACTTGCAAAGACTTTGCCGGACGGACTTACGTAAAAAAACCAAGCCACTCTGAGAGATCAAGTACCTCTCCCTGCCGAGCGCCAAGCCCTTCACCCAATCCGTGAACACGATGCTGAATAACAGGATCGAAGTCCTTCACAGCAGCAGTGCTGAAGGCTCGAGTCCATGTGCGACGGCGACGCTGGTGCTCCTTCGAGTCCCGCAAGCCAACCAAAGAAGGGATCACTGGCCAGAGGTGCCTCCCCTCGTACACTAGGAAAGGTCAGCTCATTTGGCTCTCTGCACGAATTCATTGTGGAGCTCACTGGGTCCCTTGGGCCAGCCTTGTGTTCCTAGAAGGGGCACAATACACGACGCATCACGTATGATCACCTCATTTGGACCTAGTCATGTTTTTAGCTCTTTACACTTCAATTAGTCTTGATGAATACTTACCGATTCTAACAATGTCGCCGTATCTGTCATGCAGCTGCCTCATGTATTGTTGCTGCTTCCCCGAGTAGGTCTTCGAGACGTGGTAGAACTTACTGACCTTGGCCAGTAGCGGTCCTGGGTACTGAGCAATTGGGTGGAAGGGGGAAAGGCGGTAGATGACGATGGACGAAAGCAGGGTAGTGTAGTAGGTCGAGAAGCCCAGGACAAGCCCTGTGAGAGCACCAAAATGGGAGATGAGGAGTGTCGACACGACTGCAGGGACGAAGAGTAACAGAGGCGAGACAACATCAAGGCGCATGGGCTCCCATCGCTTGAATATAGCGTGGGCCACCTGACGTCCATGGAGTCAGTGTCGGGAAAGCTCGATAACCACAAGAGAAACTCACCAAGGCAGAAACGACCACGACGGAAATGGCATTACGAAGAGGGACGTGAATGGACGTCAAGAAGTCATTCACACGGAGTAAAATGCCTTGAAATTGTGCTGGAAGTACGCTCATCGTCGAAAAGACACGGCGTGTATGTGAGTGAAGCGGGCCCTGTATCACAACTCCCTTTATGAATACCCGCTAGACGCTTCCGCCCAAGAATCACCCTCGCGGGGCAGCGAAATCGGCGTGCTGAAGCATGTTTGAGGATCCTGTATCACCGGTCATAGTCAGCTAGCGGAGGAGATGGGTGCTGAAACGCGTGGAATCAAGGTCGTCCGCGTCGAATCGAGGTCGTCC